GCACGCAGTAGCTTTGCCTGGGGAGGCTGCCAAGAGGCATGAGCTGGGCCTACAGAGCCCAGCGTGAGGCAAGTGCTCAGCCTGGAGTGGCCAACTTCAGGAAGATTCCAGCCTGGAGAGCGTGTCAGGGGCAGGAGTGGGGCCTGTCAGGGCTGCTGAAAGGCAGGAGCTTGGACTGCGGGTGCTGCGGTGAGGCAGATGCTGGGCCTGGAGAGTCTGCTGTGAGGCAGGATTTGGGCCTGGAGAGGCCAATGGGAGGCAGGATTTGGACTTGGAATGGCAGACTTGAGAAAATTGTCTGGTGAGGCCACCAGGATGCAGGAACTGGGCCTGAAGAGGCCATCGAGAGGCAGGAACTGGGCCTAAAGTGGTCACCTCGAGGAAGTTTTGGGCCTGGAAAGCCTGTCAGGGGACAGGAGCTGGGCCTGCAGAGGCCACCGTGAGCTGGGCCTAATGAGGTCAGTGTGAGGCAGGATCTGGGCCCGTCAGCGCTGCCAGGAGGCAGGTGGAAACTTGTTCAAGGAAGACCTCCATGAGGCACAAGCTGGGCCTGGAGAGGCCACTGGGAGACAAGAGCTGGGCTGGAGAGGCCACTGGGAGGCTGAAGGTGGGCCTGTCCAAGCCATTGGGAGGCTGAAGGTGGGCCTGGAGAGCTTGACTTGGGGCAGTTTGGGGCCTAAAAAGGCCACCAGGAGCTTGGCAGGAGCTGAGCAGAAAGAGGTTGTCGTGAGGCAGGTGCTGGCCCTCTAGGCACAGCTGAGAGGAAGAGCTCAGCCTTGAGAGGCCGACTTGGGGACACTGTGGGCCCAGATAAGCCACTCAGAGGCAGGATCTGGGACTAAAGAGGCCATTGTCAGATGAACCTGGGCCTGTGGAGGCTGTGGTGAGGCAGTAGCCTCATCTGCAAAGAGGACCATGAGGTGGGGTATGGGCCTAAATAGACCATTGTGAGCCATGAGCTTGGCCTGTAGAGGCCAACTGGAAAAAGTTCTGGGCCTGGAGAGGCTGCCGGCAGGCAGGAGCAGAGCGAAAAGATTCAAGCACATTACTTATTGGGCACTTTATTTCCATTATTACATTGTAATATATAATGAAATTATTTTATTTATTTTATTTTATTTTGAGACGGTATTTCACTCTTGTTGCCCAGGCTGGAGTACAATGGTGTGATCTTGGCTCACTGCAACCTCCACCTCCCAGGTTCAAGCAATTCTCCTGCCTCAGCTTCCCAATTAGCTGCGATTACAGATGCCCACCGCCATGCCTGGCTAAGTTTTTGCAGTTTTAGTCAAGACAGGGTTTCACCATGTTGGCCAGGCTGGTCTCAAACTCCTGAATTCAGGTGATCCACCCACCTTGGCTTCTCAAATTGCTTGTATTGCAGGCATGAGCCACTGCACCCAGTGAGAGATTTATTTCCTATACAGGGTTGCAGCCTGCAGGGTAGTCCTCCTAATGGGCTGGGAAGCATTGACTCCAGTCAGAAGCCAGAAGCAGACACTTCAAGGGAGAGGTAAAGGAAACAGTAATTTACGCTGAGTGGCATGGCCAAATACACATATTTAATAAGCTCTAGGAGGAGCCATGAATATTTATGAAAGGAGAAATGCGTGCAGTCACAGTTGAGTTTCTTACTCCTTCATGGGTCCCATGTACAAAAAAAATGGCACTGTTAGCATGATCCCAGGGTGACATTTCAGCCCTCTGACATTAAAAGGTGAAGCAGAGGACATGAAAACTTGCTCTGTGCATCCTCTGTATACTGGCCAGTACCTCTCTGTCATGGGTGGTCTCTTATCAGGCAAGAAAGGAGAGGCAGCTTCACAGCTGGTTGATCTCAGTGGTGGAGTCTTTTGAAAGCTCTGGTTTTCCTTAAATCCTTGGGTGAGGTGTCTGTTCAGATTTGTGTGCATCTTTAGTTGGGCTGTTTTACTTAGTAAGATTTTTTTTTTGTATATTGAATACAAATTCTTTCTCAGAACTGTATTTTGCAAATATTTTCTTTCAATATGTGACTTTTCTTTTTATTCTCTTAATAAGATCTTTTCCAGAGTATACTCTTAATGTTTAAAATATCCACCTAATTCTTTGTTCTGTGTGTATTGACACTTTGTGTTGCTTGTTAAAATTCATTACCGAACCCAAGGGCACAGAGCTTTTATTCTATGTCTTCTTCTAGAAATTGTATAGTTTTGCATTTTTTGTGTAACGGTGATTTTCAGTGATTATTTGTATAAGTTGTAAAGTTTTCATCTACATTCATTTCATTTTCTATGGTTTCCAATGAATCATTCCTTCCCTACTTTTTGGAGACACAGGATAGTGGGCTCTGTTAGAGTAGGTGGGTAGCTAGACATGAACATGATGGGAAGGCTCACCTGGAGGGACCATCAACAATTTATATATTAGTAGCAGCTCTAATGCTGGAGTGGATGGGCAGTTGTCAGTTGTGGATAGGAGGAAGAAGAGGTACCTGTGCAGAAAGAAACACCCTAGAACTCCTCTTCGGGTGCCCCAATCATCATTCACTCTTCAGTTAAAATGTCAGAAAATGCTAGCTACATGCTGATAAGAAGGACAAAGGAGACATTCATAAGAGAAACCTGGCACTGTAAGTACAGGTTGGGGCAGAGAAGGACATTCAAAAGAGACAGGCAGGCACAGGAGGTACAGACGTGACCACTGTAGGGCCTTCCCGGGAGGCGGGAAGGAGCCAGCCCCAACAGTGACTTTGGGTTGATCACCACACATGTGCGTTACCTAACAGTGAGGAGGTCCCACGAGCCTAAGAGGGGCAAGTCAGGGACTTAAGACAGGAGCAGAAAAACCAAAGAAAACAGGTGGATACTTGAGACAGAGGCAGGAATGTGAATACGTCCAAATAAAATTCCCTGCACAGGACCCTTGGGCTGCTTTCCTGCACAATCAGCCTGCTCCTCCCTTGGGGCCTACGTATTTTTTTCTGGAATAAGCTAGAAACAGTGTATTTGTTTTCAATGAAGTTATCTGCCATCTTTGTACTGCCTCTTAATGAAAATATTTCTCCCAAGTTAGACAAGAACTGTGACATCTGCTCTTTCCAGTAATAGCTCCATTTCAGTTCGAATTTCCAGAACTGTGGGTGCTGAATAACTGGCGCTCTGACTTTAAGTGGTGCAGAAGGAGGCCAGTAGGGGTGCGCCAGCCATCACACTGGGAGCAAGAGGGCACTGCCGTGTCCCAGCTGCCAGCTGGGGGCGTGCTGCCACAACACTGAGCACGAGGGTTCCGCAGTGTCCCCAGCTGCCAGCAGGGGGCGTGCTTCCAATACACTGTGAGCAACAGGACCCTACAGTGCCCCCAGAAGCCAGCAGGGGGCCTGCCACCACTACACTGTGAGCCAGAGGGCCCTACAGTGCCCCGAGCAGCCAGCAGGGGACACACAGACACCACACCATAAGCAAGAGGACGCTGCAGTGCTCTCGTTGCCAGCACAGGGCTGCTGCCACACCAGAGAAAGAGGGTCTTGCAGTGCCCCCAGCGGCCAGCAGGGGGCGTGCCGGCACTACACCGCGAGTAAGAGGGCCCAGCAGCACAGACACCACACCAGGAGCAAGAGGACGCTGTATTGCCCTGGTTGCCAGCAAGGGGCGTGTTGCCACTACACTGTGAGCAAGAGGGCCCTGCAGTGCACCAGCCATGAGCAGGTGATGCCCATCACCTCACTGTAAGAGGGCCCTACAGTGGCCCTAGCCGCCAGAAGGGGGCGCAGGCGCAGTACCGTAAGCAAAGCAGGGGGTGCCCGAGCCCGCCTTTTCAGATGGCACCATGGAGGCGTGCATGGCGTGTGTGGCGCTGTGGCGGCATGCGTGGTGGCAGGGCGTCGGCATGCGTGGCATGAGTTGTGCTTGCGGGTGTAATGTGCGTCACGGCACTGGCGTGTATGGTGTGCATGGTGTCGCGGCGCCAGCGTGTGTGGCGTGCGTCGTGGCGCTTGCGTGCGTGGCATGTGCTGCCGTGCCGGTGTGCCAGGGTCTTGCAGTGCACTCAGCGGTCAGCAGGGGGCATGCCGCCACTACACCGCGAGTAAGAGGGTCAAGCAGCACAGGCACCACACCGGGAGCAAGAGGACGCTGCATTGCTCTGGTTGCCAGTAGGGGGCGTGTTGCCACTACACTGTGAGCAAGAGCGCCCTGCAGTGCCCCAGCCGCCAGCAGGTGATACCCATCCCCGCAGTGTAAGAGGGCCCTGCAGTGACCCTAGCCACCAGCAGAGGGCGCCCGAGTCCGCCTTTTCAGATGGCGCTGCGGCGGCGTGCGTGACGTGCGTGCCGGCCCGGCGCTGGAGTGCGTGGCGTGAGTTGTGGCGCTTGTGGGCATGGCGTGCGTGGTGTCCAGGCGCCGGCGTGCGTGGTGTGCGTCCAGACGCCAGCGTGAATGGCGTGCATGGCTTGCGTGTGTCCAGACGCCGGCGTGCGTGGCATGCGTCGTGGCGCTTCCGTGCGTGGCGTGCGTCGCGGTGCCGGTGTGCGTGGCGTGCGTGGCGTCGCGGCATTGGCGTGCCAGCGTCTTGCAGTGCCTCAAGCGGCCCGCAGGCGGCGTGCCGCCACTACACTGTGAGACAGAGCGCCCTCCAGTGCCCCAGCCGCCAGCAGGTGATACCCATCCCCGCAGTGTAAGAGGGCCCTGCAGTGACCCTAGCCACCAGCAGAGGGCGCCCGAGTCCGCCTCTTCAGGTGGCGCCGCGGCGGCGTGCGTGACGTGCGTGGCGGCCCGGCGCTGGAGTGCGTGGCGTGAGTTGTGGCGCTTGTGGGCAGGGCGTGCGTGGTGTCCAGGCGCTGGCGTGTGTGGCGTGCGTGGCTTGCGTGCGTGGCGTGCGTCCAGACGCCGGCGTGCGTGGCGTGCGTGGCGTGCGTCGTGGCGCTTCCGTGCGTGGCGTGCGTCGTGGCGCTTCCGTGCGTGGCGTGCGTCGCGGTGCCGGTGTGCGTGGCGTGCGTGGCGTCGCGGCATTGGGGATGCCAGGGTCTTGCAGTGCCCCAAGCGGCCAGCAGGCGGTGTGCCGTCACTACACTGTGAGCAAGAGCGCCCTGCAGTGCCGCAGCCGCCAGCCGGTGATACCCATCACGGCAGTGTAAGAGGGCCCTGCAGTGGCCCTAGCCGCCAGCAGGGGGCGCCCGAGCCCTCCTTTTCAAATGGTGTCGTGGCGCCGGCGTGCGTGGCTTGCGGGTGTGCGTGGCGTCGCGGCGCCCCCCCCCCAGCGTGCGGAGTTGTGTTCTCCTTAGTGCACACCTGGGGGACACCGCGAGTGCGGAGCTGCGTTTTCCTCTGTACGGACCTACGCGGCACAGCCTCGCTTTGGGACTACTGTGGGCCGCGTCCACGGTGAGTAAAATCCTTCCTATTTGCAGCCCTGATTGCTTAGGGTCAGAGACTAGTAAGATCTCGGGGTGGAAAACTGGACGCCAAACGCCCCCCTGAATCCTGCGCGCCTGGGTTCTCCCCCACAAGGCCGGGCGACTGCAGCGCGAGGTGAGCAGGGCAGCCTCGGAACACAAATAGAGCGTTCCTAAGGCAGACACGACCTCCGAAATGCGAATACAACACCCGCAGCGCTCATGTCGAAAACACCTGTAACTGTTACTGTGAAATCCGCACTGCTCACGCGGCCGGGCCAGTGCCGCAGTTTTAATAATCAGCGCCGACGTATCAGCGCAGACTAGAAACTCAAGTATGGTTAGGGCTTAGGGTGAGGATTAGGACTAGGGGTTAGGGTTGGAGTTAGGGGTCGCCGGTTAGGGGTTAGGATGTAGAGGTTAGAAGAACTTTAGGCACAAGACATTTAAACGGTTTATTTGAGCAAAGGAATGATTCATGAATCACACCTGAAGCACCAGAACGGAAAACGGCTCGGGGCTTCGCGTTCTTAGTGGTGGCAGCTGAGCGAGGTTCCTTCTTGGCGCCTGTTGTGGGGATGGTTCCCTCCGCGTCCCTGGTCGTGCAGCCAACTGGCGGCTGGGCTTTTTGTCATCGACTGGTTGGTTGGTTAATGTTTTTTAAGGCAGTTTAAATGCCTCCAATTCGGTTTCCGTTTGCTTAGGCAGGACCTCGGGCCAACGGCTTCCTCCTTTTTGCTTTAACAGGTCAAAGCCGTAATTCATTTTTATTTTACTGGGATTGATAGAAGTAAATTCACATTTTTGTTGTTATTCAGAAGTCGGTTTAATTGGCAACCTGTTTGATGGTGCATAAAATAATGTCTGTCGATCATTAGCGTCTTAGATTAGATGAAATGCGTTAACTCTATTAAGCTTTGTTATTAAACAGGAGTTGAGTTTTTCTTTCTCCTAGACTCTAACCATTCAAAATACACTCAGCATCTCCTACCGATGCGGATACTTTCTGAGAAATTTGTCCTTAGTGGTTTCATCTTTGTGCTTTGTGGTTATAAAAGCTCGATGGTGCAGCGCACTCCACACGTAGGTTATAGGGTGTAGCCTGTTGCTCCCGGGCCACAAACCTGCATAGTATGTCTCTGTACTGAATGCTGTAGTCAGCTGTCACGCTGTGGTGACTGTAGACTGTGATCCCAAAACATCTGAGTCAGGACTCAGTCAATTTAGAAAGCTTTTTTTGCCAAGGTTAAGGACATGTCCATGACACAGCCTCAGGAGGTCAGGGTAGAGCTTGCTTTTATACGTCTTAGAGAGACATGAGACGCCAGCCAATCTGTGTGAGAGGTACCGTCGTTTGGTTCAGTAAGGAGGAACAACTAGAAGTAGGAGGTGGGGGTGCTTCTGGGTCAGAAGTAGATAAAACAGAAGGTCGCATCCTTTTGAATCCTTGATCAGCCTTCCACTGAATACAATTTAGTCTGGTTCAGAGAATCTGCATTTTTACATACACAGTAGGGCAGAGGAATGGCGTGATCTTGGCCCACTACAACCTCTGCCTCCCAGGTTCAAGCTATTGTCTTGCCTCAACCTCCCGAGTAGCTGAGATGACAGGCATGCACCACCAGGCCTGGGAAATTTTTGTATTTTTAGTAGAGATGGGGTGTCTCCATGTTTGTCAGGCTGGTCTCAAACTCCTGACCTCAGGTGATCTGCTTGCCTTGGCCTCCCAAAGTGCTGGGCTCACAGGTGTGAGCCCCTATGCCTGGTCAGGAAGCTTATTTTGATTCTGATATTGTCAACTGTATTTCAGGCATAATTTGGAGCATTAAATACTGCTTTGGTGTTTTATTACACAAATAAAACACAGATCCCTTTTTGTCATATTTATTGCTAGTGATGCCGACATCTAAATTTAGAAACATTGCAGAGTCTGGGCTTCCAGTAATTCTGTGTGATCCTCTAAAAGGTAAATTATTTTTTCTTGTAAGACACAGTGGCATCTAAAGTCACATTGAATGTCCTGCCACTTTTGTTTCTCTAGCTTCATCAATTTCTGTGAAGCATCTTTGGGAGAATAGCTTTGACTATCCCTTTAAACTCTTCTGTATGAGAAAGCATCCTGATGAAACATTGAATAATTGTGGTCGCAAATTCCGTCTACAGTCTTCCTGTCTTTGAATTTTTTTCCAATGGCAAATATTTGCTCTTGTTGTTTTGTAACCAAAGGGAATGCTGGGAAACAAAGACGAGCGTTCAGTAGAGTAAGTGATTCAGTCACAGTCAATTTGCTATTTTAACTTTTTTTTTAACTTACACTTTTGAAAACGTCCAGCCATAGATTGAAATAGTCTCCAAAATATGAATTTTTTCCCTGGTTCTAAGGTGGCCAGCTTTCCTAGAGAGTGAACCACACTACAAGAAAAAAGCTATGATAAATATGTTTATGTGTATCTGTTATATTCATATAAAACGTGAAAGGTATTTCCTTGAAATTATTTGCATAATTGACTTTGCATTATGAATGCTCTTATTTTAAAAAGTAGTGTTATGTACTACTTATGAATAAAGCAGATATTTGAATAAATTATAATTTTTAAATAAAGGTTTTATTTGAAATTAGTTTGATTCACACTGAAATTGGGAAGAAAATGCAGATTTCCTATGTAGACCCAACCTAGTTTCCCCTTGTATAACATATCAAGGTGTATCAGATATGTTATTAACATCTTTTTCTTCGAGGTGGAGTCTTGCTCTGTCACCCAGGTTGGAGTGCAATGGCACGATCTCAGCTCAATGCAACCTCTACCTCCCATGTTTAAGCAATTCTCTTTCTTCAGCCTCCCAAGTAGCTGGGATTACAGGCACCCACCAGCACGCTTGGCTAATTTTTTGTATCTTAGTAGAGACGGGGTTTTGCCATGTTGGCCAGGCTGGTCTGGAACCCCTGACCTCAGATGATTGGCCCGTCTCAGCCTTCCAAAGCTCTGGGATGACAGGCAGGAGCCAGCATGCCCCACCTACTGTCGGTATATTTGCTGTAGTTGGGTGTCTGTTCAGATATTTACCCAGTTTTAAAATCACGTATGTATTTTGTAAATATCTTCTCACATCTGTCTTGTCTTTTTGTTCTCTGAATACAGTTTTTCACAGTAGAATATTTAGTTTTATAAAGTCTGTTATCAATATTTTCATGAATTGGCATTTGATGTTGTGTGTTAAAACTCAACACCAAACCCAAATCACATAGATTTTCCTTTAGATTGTTTATAGTTTTGCATTTCAAATTACAGTCGCTGGACTATTTTGAGTGAGTTTTTGTTTTTCTTAATTTGCGTATATATTCATTTCCTTCTACATGGCTTCCAAAGTCTTCCATCGCCGTTTTCGGGAAGGATATGGCCACGGTGGGCTTCATTTTGATTTGAATTTCCAGTTATTACACTGAATAAGCTGAATATTGAATTTTATAGGTAATTCAGGACAGCCGGGCAGGGTGGACATCCACCGAGAAACTGAGCAAGTGTCTGCTGAGCTCTGGCACCACCAGAGGGCGCACGAACCCACCCCGACCAACTTCCCTCTGAGGAGCCAGAAGCAGTGAGGAGCTTCCACCTCCTCAGGGCAGCACGAGGGTCGTGTCAAGTAAGTGTTGTTCATTGGTGAGTAAAAAGCTTCCTTTCCACGGCCCTGAGTGCAGAGCAGAGAGTGTTCAGAGTACTCAGCAAAGGAAGACGTTCATCTAGAAAAATGAAATCCCCAAATCCCATCCTTATGACTACACCTGATGTCATTGTCAACGTCCCAGACACAGTGGCCTCTCATGTGATAATCACACCGTGCCCTGACACCAATCTAACATCCGTAGCGTACTCTACCGCTAATCTAATAGCCACACTGTTGCTTCTAATACCAATGCCATACTATCCACACAGTGCCCTAATGCTAATGTAATATCTGCCTCTTCTCCAGCACCAATATAATATGTGCACTGTGCCCTGACACCGACGTCCGCCCCGTGCCCTGACACTGGTATCCACACTGTGCCGTAACACTGATGTATCCACACAGTAGCTTCCACTACTAATAAATATGATAATATCTACTCAGTGGGTCTGTTGACGTTGAGGCTTTATAAGGGTTCACAGCTTTGGATGAAGCGTAGCCTCTGTAGTGGATTTTGAGGATGTCTCTGCTTTTCTGGCATAGTATTGATATGGTTGTTTTAAAAAGCAATTTACTTTTTAGTATGTCATACTTCCAGGAAGCTTCAGTAGCAGTGCAAAATATAACCTGTTTCTTTTCTTAGAGTCCCCAGCAGTTACTGCTGTACCACATCTGCAGTGTCCCACAGAATACTCCGGTGTATTTTACCCAAAGCATGGACGCTCTCCCAGGTTACCACCATAACCCCTGGCTCAGGAAATTATCACGGTTCTGTGATAATTTAGTCCACAGACTCATTTCCCTTTTACTTCCTGCCCCACCTGGGAGTATGAGCTTTTTCATTCTGAGCCGGTGTTCCTGGCACCGTTCCCAAGACTCTCCTGCATATTTATGATCTTGACACATTTAAAGAGCGTACAGGTTTTTGTTTGAACACGTTTTCAGGTCTTTGGGGTATACACCTAGGAATGGAATCACTGAGTCATACGGCAAATCTACTTGTAACTGAAGAAACACCGAATTATTTGACACATGCTGCACCACTTCATGTTGTCACGAGCAGGGTTTCATGGTTCAGGTTTCTGGATATCGTTGTCAACACTGGTTTTTTTCTCTTTGGCGTAACTGTTGTATGTGAGTTAAGGGACATCTCTGGTTTTAATTCTGAGAAATGATGTTAAGCATCTTTTCATGTGCTTCTTGGTCAAGTGTGTGTTGAAGTCCTTTGTCGATTTTTAGGTTGGGTTGTCTGTTGTTGAATTATAAAAGTTATTTATACATTCTGGATAACAGACACTTATAAAGCATCTAATGTGTGGGGTTTTTTCTTCTGTTTTGTGGGTTATTAAAATATAACGAGAGTTAATGTGTAGTCTCTCCCGCGGGGTCCTGAGACAGAGCTCCCAGCCTTTGGAATGTATGAAGTGATGTGTCTTTTGTGTGCTAATGAGATGACTGATGGCTGGGGGCACCTGGACAGCCTCAGTGGGGCTGGCTGCCAAGGGAACCAACCTTGTCATTAGAGGATTTGAAATTTCATCCCCCTCCCATCTCTGTGAAGGGGAGAGGTGCTGATGTCTGACTTGATCACCTGTGGCCACTCATGTACCTAATCTGCCTATGTAAGGACCGGGCTGGGACAGTGCGAGCGTCTGTGTTGCTGAACATGGGGAGATGCTGGGAGGAGCATATCCGGAGCGGGCGAGGGAGGCCTGCACCCCTTCCACATACCTCACGTTGTGCATCTCTTTATCCGACTGTTCATTCTTAGCCTTTAAAATATCCTTGGCAGTAAGTCAGCAATGGGAAGTACACGGTGCACGGGTTCTGTAATGTGCTGGAGTGAATTGCTGAACCCAGTAAGGCTGTTGTGAGAGCCTCCAGTCTGTCGCCACGGCAGACAGAGGATAACCTGGTAACCTACTGTTTGTGATGGTCATCTTAGAACTGAATGCCTGTATTTTCTCAGAGAAGAGATGAATTACTTTTACCGTTTTTCTTGTCCTGCTCTTCCTACTTAGCTCTTGAGGAATGCAGTTATAAGCTTAATGTCTCTCCACGAGGTACTTCCTACACTGCAAACTTTTCTAACTGTGTTTACTTAGGAGTTCCAGGGAACAAACCTGGGAACGAACGAGGCACCTCCGGAACTCTTCCCCCACCGGGAGATTGCCAGGACACAAGTCAGTGTACAACCTAGCTCTGCCCACGAGGACAGCAAGATACCTGATGGATAAGACATCAGAGCTGGTCTCGTTGACCCTGCACCTCCTCACCCCAGCCCCTGCACCTCCTCGCCCCAGCCCCTGCACCTCCTCGCCCCAGCCCCTGCACCTCCTCGCCCCAGCCCCTGCACCTCCTCACCCCAGCCCCTGCATGCCATTTTGCCAAGTCCTTTTAAAGCTCCCACTTTCTGCCCCTGAAAGTGGAAGTGGTTTCCTCAAGGCAAAGAGGCCGTCCGTTCCCTTCAGCTGCGCACTGGCATAAAGTCACTGCGTTTTTACCACCCTATGTTGGTCAATTGAATTTGCAAGCAGCGAGCAGCATGACCTGCCTTCCTAGGACTGGGTCCTCAGTCTGTGGGGTCTGATGCTCTCTCCAGTTAGTGTCAGAAGTGGACTGCGCTGTAGGACAGCTAGCAGGGACCCAGGATTCGGTCTGTGGGGAAGAACCCGTGCCTCTGTTAATAGAAGTGTCTGTTGAGTGTTGAGAGAAGACAGTTTTTCCTCTTACAACAATTCTATCTTAAAACTGTTTTCTTCATGTCTTCTGAGGCATAAAAGTTAAGAATTTTGAGGAAATCAGTAGATTTTCTTTTATGGTTTGTGGTTTTCTGTCAGATCTAAGAAACTATTGCTACATCCAAGGTCATGAAGTTTTAATTTTATGTTTTCTCTGGAGATTTTAGTTTTGCCATATTTAGATCTTTGATCCATTTTAAGTTAAATTTTTTATGTGATATGAGGTGAGAATACAATTTCATGTCCCTTTATGTGGATCGCAAGTCGCTGTACGTCACTTACTGAGGACAGCATTTTTCCTCAATTTACTGGTTTGGACCTTGTCTCAGGTCAGTTGAGCATCGAGGTGCTGCTTTATGTCTGGACTTCCGGTTCAGTTCAGTTGATTTTTCTGTTTATTCTTGTGCCAGTATCACACTGTTTTCATTACCACTGCTTTGTGATAAGATTTGAAACTGGGATGTGCGAACCTCCAGGTTTGGAGTTATTTTTCAGAATGGGTTTGGCTTTTCAGGGTTCATTGGAATTCTATATGAGCATTCGGATCAGCTGTCCCACTTCTGTCCCAAGGCATTTGATATTTTCATAGGAATAATGTTGAATCTGTAGATTGCTTTGTGTAGTTTGGCAAACTTAACAAATATTATCTTTACACCCATGAACATGACATGATTTTACATTTATTTGGGCTTTGATTAATTTCCTTGATTAATGTCTTACAGTTTGCCCCATCTAAGTCTTGCTCTTTGATTACATTTATTCCTAAACGTATTATTGCTATTATTTAAAGTGGAATTTTTATAATTTTGTTTTCAGATTATTCATTGCTAGTGTATACATATAAAATGGATTCTTTAGCAAGGCACGGTGGCTCACATCTGTAATTCCAGCACTTTGGGAGGCCGAGGCAGGCAGATTACCTGAGGTCAGGGGCTCAAGACCAGCCTGGCCAAAATGGCAAAAACCTATCTCTACTGAAAATACAAAATTAGGCAGACCACCATTGATTTACTGGGATAAAAAAATCATGTTCATCGTGTTTGATGCTTTCAAAATGCTTTTGGTTTAAATTTGCTGTTATTATGTTGAAGATTCCTAAGTCTACATTCTGAGGTTCTGATCAGTCCTTGATGTGGCGTGGCGCTGAGTAGGACAGAGAAGGATGGGATTGTGAACAGACTGCGGTTAGCGTTTACAGATTTACTGTGTCAGTGCATTACAAATCAGGAGACGGGGTTTCAGGGTTACGAGTTCACCAATCGAATATGATACTATAAGGGCTGCAAGGAGGAGGTTCCGGTTGGCGGTTGGGAGCTGCATGGTAGAGATGAGTGGGAGAGACCAGGTGAGTAACGGGGTGAGGTTGAGAGGTCAGGATGATGGCGAAGGGTTAGGGTGAAAGGGTTTGTGAGGTTTAGGGTTAGGGTTACAGTAAGGGTTAAAGTCAAGTCGGAAGACTGTGTTGAGTGAATTTTTGCATAAGCTGTAAAATATGCATCCATGCTCGTTTTATTTCCTATGGTTTCCAATTGATTGTCCCTTCTTTATTTTTAGAAACACATGGGCTAGTGGGCTCCATGCCAGTTTGCATTTGCAGAACGATGGCCCTGAACACTTCTCCCTCATTCCCACCGCCAGCACCTGCGCGAGGGCCCTGCAGTGCCCCCGGCTGCCAGCAGAGGGTGTGCGAGCCCTGCTTTTCTAATCCCGGAGGCCACAGCGTCCTGCCCATTTCCTCCGCACAGGCCCCTGCGGGTTCTCCTCAGCACAGACCAGGGGACACCCCTCACTTGGGGACACCTCGAACCCGCGTCCACAGTGAGTAAAATCTTTCCTGTTTGCCGCCGTGACTGCTGAGGGGCAGGCACCCTTCCTGTGGAAAATTAGAAACCAAAAACCACGGTGAATCCAGCGCAGCCGAGGTTGATTCTCTGCACCCAAGGCGAGGCAGCCACGGGGCCATACAGGAGGCTCGGAGCGGAAATGCAGCATCAGGAGAGCAGAGAGAACACCCGCCACACTGATGATAACCGCCTATAATACCAGTAATGCTCCTCCTGTGCTGCTGCTGTAGCGCCCATTATACAGACGTCACACCCGTTAGGGGAACGCAGCAGTCACCGCGCAGGTCCGATCCCGGGAACCCGGATGTGTCTCAGGGTGCACAGAGTGCCCGGAACGCCTGTGAGTGCGCACATACCACCCGGAACACCCGAGACACAGTCTAACGTGGCACCCGTCACACTCATGTAATCCCCAGAACATGCACGTGTCCCTCAGCGCACACATATTACCCAGCCCATGACACCGTAGGACTAACACGACCATCACATGCATATAACCCTGGGAACACACGTGTCCCTTAGAACACACGTATCACTCGGGACGCGAACATGGTCTTTGGAGCGTCTGCAGCACCGAGTGTGGGACCCTCCGGCTCTCACCGGGACACGGGGTTCACCGTCTGTGCTGGGCTGGGTTCAGGCTGGATTTGGCATCTGTGATGAAGTGTGATGTTGCTATTTCTGCCTTTCTGACATGGTATTGACGGTCGTTTTTAAGTAGTTGACTTCCCAGTAACCTCATGCATCCGGGAAACTGGCACCTGCAGTTAGTGTGCCTTCTCCTTTCCCTCCGATTCCCCAGCAGTTACTGCTGTGCTAGATTTGCAGCTTCTCACAAAATACTCCCGTGTGTTTCACCAAAAGCAGAAACACTCCTCCAGGTGACCCCCACATACCCCAAAATCAGGAAATACACGGTTCCTTTTTTTTCTTTTGTTTTTGGATATGGCGTGTTGCTCTGTTGCCAGACTAGAGTACAGTGGTGCGATCTCAGCTCACTGCAACCTCCACCTCCCGGGTTCAACAGATTCTCCTGCCTCAGCCTCCCCAGTAGCTGGGATTACAGGCGTGCACGACCACGCCCGGCTGATTTTTTTGTATTTTTGGTAGAGATAGGGTTTTCCCACGTTGGCCAGGATGGTGTTGATCTCTTGACCTCGTGATCCTGCCACCTTGGCCTCCCAAAGTGCTGGGATTACACGTGTGAGCCACCATGCCCAGGTAAAAATACATGATTTCTATGTGAAAGTCCTATCCACAGACCTACTTCTTCACTGCCTGCCCTCATGGCAGAAAAATGTCCCTTTCCATGTTGGCCCAATTTTCCTTTTTGGGAATGGTTCCTGACACTCTCAATTTTTTTTTTCTTTTTTTTTTTGAGATGGAGTTTTGCTCTTTCTGTGCAGGCTGGAGTGCAATGATGTGATGCCTGCTCACTGCAGCCTCCACCCCTCAGGTTCAAGAGTCTCCTGCTTCAGCCTCCCAAGTAGCTGGAATGACAGGCATCCACCACCACACCTGGCTAATTTTTTGTATTTTTAGTAGAGATGGGATTACACCATGATGGCCAGGCTGGTCTCAAACTCGTGACCTCAGGTGATCCACCCACCTCGGCCTCCCAGAGTGCCAGGATTACAGGCATGAGCCACCATGCCCAGCTGCCTCTCAGTTTTCACAGCCTTGACAGATGTAAAGAGCGGAGATGATTCCACGCTGGATCTACTCAGCCTTTCCTTCTGAACAGGTGCAGACCCCGCATTCCCGGTAGGAACACCCTGGCCTGGTGCCGCACTCTCAGTGCAGCCCACCTGGAGGATCTTTCATTCCACCTCCAATGGCGACCTCACTTGCTAATGTCAAAATATTTATTTACAGTCACAAATTCCATCCTGTCAAGTTCTGGATTTAAGTTTGCCAGTGGTTTCCCAAAGGCTTTAGAACCATGGCCTCCAGACCCTGAGTGCTCCTGCCTGCTGCCCTCTCCCATCCAGTCTGCTATAGCTGCCTGCAGTCCCACTTGTGGGGACACAGGCTCCCGGGTGTCTCAGCGTGGATTTTATATGTGTCCTTCCCGCCCATTCACCCAGTGGCCACCTTAGGTTTTTAAGACGTTGTCAAGACAGGTTCTTGAAGTCATAGCAGTTATGTTGTCTAAAAGTAGAACAGTTAATAATGTGATTTTTCTAAAGACAAGGAAATAATCCATTATTTATTAGATCACCTGTGAGATGACCCTCAATTTTTTTGTTTTGTTTTTTTGATATGGAGTCTCCCTGTGTTGCTGAGGCTGGAGTGCAGTAGCACAATCTCTGTTCACCACAGCCTCTACCTCCTGGGTTCAAGCAATTCTCATGCCTCAGTCTCCTGAGTAGCTGCGACTACAGGCACCCACTGCCACACCCAGCTAATTTTTGCATTTTTAGTACAGATGGGGTTTCACTATGTTGGCCAGGCTGGTCTCAAACTCCTGACCTCGTGATCTACGTGTCTCAGTCTCTGAATGTGCTAGGATTACAGGTGTTAGCTAGCATGCCGAGCCTGTTTTTAACTTTTTAGGGGAATACCAAACTATGTTAAAAGTAGGCTGCACCAGCTTATATTCCACAGAGTATTTAAGGGTTGTAATTTCTCTCCAACCTTGCCAACACTTGTCATTTTACATTTCTTGGATCATAGCCTTTCCAGTGTGTGTGAAGGAGTGTGGCACTGTGGTTTCAGTTTAGATGACCATAATGAACACGGTATTGATCATCTTTTATGTGCTTTCCATTTGCATGTCTTACTGAAGGAGTGTGTGTTCAACTGTTTCTCTGTTTTGTAATTCGGTTGTTTTTGTTGTTGAGTTATACAAATTATACGTTGTGGTTAACAGGCTGGTGTTAGATATGTAATGCACAAATACTTTCTTTCTGTGGGTTGTTTCTTCACTTTGTTTTCTTTTTTTGAGATGGAGTCTTGCTCGGTTGCCCAGGCTGGAGTGCAGTTGCGCAGTCTCGGCTCCCTGCAACCTCCACCTCCCAAGTTCAATCCTCCCACCTCAGCCTCCTCAGTAGCTAGGATTACAGGCAGGTGCCACCAACCTGGCTGTTTTTTTTTTTTTGTACTTTTAGTAAAAGCGCGGTTTCACCGTGTTAGCCAGGCTGATCTCGAACTTCTAACCTCAAGTGATCCACTCACCTCGGCCTCCCAGAGTGCTCAGATTACAGGCATGAGCCGCTGCACCTGCTTTAGTATTTATTCTTCATACCATTTTCCACCTGATGTGCTGTCTGTGTTACTGGTTTATGGCTCGCCTGTCTCTCTCCCCCTCATTAGAATCACGGATCCATTCAGAGAGCAGAAACTTTGTTTTGTTCATTGCTGTTTCCCCAAAGCCTAGAATCCTGCCAGGGACATGATAACCAGGCAGTAGTTATTAGTGGAATGAACTAATGTAAGAACGAATGAATGGCCGGGTGCAATGGCTCATACCTGTAGTCCCAGCACTTTGGGAGGCCGAAGCAGGCAGATTGCTTGAAGTCAGGAGTTCGAGACCAGCCTGGCCAACATGGTTAAATTCCATCTCTACTAAAAATACGAAACTTAGCCAGGCATGGTGGCAGGTGCCTGTACTCCCAGCTACATGGGAGGCAAAGGCAGGAGAATCAACTGAACCCGGGAGGTGGAGGTTGGGCTGAGTCGAGATCATGCCACTGCACTCCAGCCTGGATGAAAGAGCAAGACTCTGTCTCAAAAATAAATAAAAATAATTTTAAAAAACAATGCATAGAGACAAGGCCTAGACAGAAGGAGTGATAGTAATCAATAGTACACAAGGGAAATCATTGCAAATGAGAATTTATTTAACGAGGATAGTTAGAAGGATTGTCATGTTCCCAGTACAGAAAATAAATATTTGAGGTGATGACCAGCTCAGTTACCCTGAAATGATCATCACATACCACCTACCTCAGGGGTCCCCACACCCCTGGGCATGAATCAGTACCAGTCTGAGGCCTGTTAGGAACTGGACAGGCAGCCCAGCAGGTGGGCAGTGGGCAGGCGTATGAGGCTTCACCGTCTTCACAGCCACGCCTTATTATTCACATCAGCACTTAAACTCCACCTCTAGATCAGTGGCAGCATTAGATTCTCATAGGAGGGCGAACCCTGCCATAAACAGCACATGCGGGGGTCTAGGCTGCATGCTGCTTTATTTTTTTTGAGATGCAGTCTTGCTCTGTTGCCAGGCTGGAGTACAGTGGCACGTTCTTGGCTTACCACAACCTCTGCTTTTGAGTTCAAGCGATTCTCCTGCCTCAGCCTCCTGGGTAGCTAGAATTACAGGCACATACCACCATGCACAGCTAATTTTTGTTTTTTTTTTTTAGTAGAGACGGAGTTTCACGATGTTAGCCAGGCTGGTCTCAAACTCCTGACCTCATGATCCACCTGCTTTGGCCTCCCAAAGTACTAGGATTGCAGGCATGAGCCACCACGCCCTGCAGCTGCATGCTTCTTATGAAAATCTAATGCCTGATGATCTATCACAATCTCCCATCGCCCCCAGAGGGACCATCTAGTTTCAGCAAAACTAGCTCAGGCTCTCACTGATTCTGCATTATGGTGAGCTGTGTAAGTATTTCATTATATTTTACAATGGAATAATAATAGAAGCAGGCCAGGCACAATGGCTCATGCCTATCATCCCAGCACTTTGGGTGGGTGAGGCGGGAGGATAACCTGAGGTCAAGAGTTTGAGACCAGCCTGGCCAACACGATAAAACCCCATCTCTACTAAAAATAACAAAAAAATGGCTGGGCGTGGTGGCTCAGGCCTGTAATCCCAGCACTTTGGGAGGCTGAGGCGGGTGGATCACGAGGTCAAGAGATCGAGACCATCCTGGTCAACATGGTGAAACCCTGTCTCTACTCAAAATACAAAAAATGAGCTGGGCACGATGGTGCAGGCCTGTAATCCCAGCTACTCAGAAGGCTGAGGCAGAAGAATTGCCTGAACCCAGGAGGCGGAGGTTGTGGTGAGCCGAGATCACGCCATTGCACTCCAGCCTGGGAAACGAGCGAAACTCTGTCTCAAAAAAAAAAAAAAATACAAAAAATCAGCCAGGTGTGGTGACAGGCGCCTGTAATCCCAGCTACTCGGGAGGTTGAGGCAGGAGAATTGCTTGAACCCAGCAGGCAGAGGTTGCAGTGAGCCACGATCATGCCATTCCACTCCAGCCTAGGTGGCAAGAGCAAAACTCCATCTCAATAAATAATAATAGAAGTAAAGTGCACAATAAATGTAATGTGCTTGAATCATTCTGAAACCACCCCCTGCCCCCAGGTCCGTGGAAAAGTTGTCTTCTACAAAACTGATCCCTGGTGCCAAAAAGGTTGGGGACCACTGCTCTACAGGTCTCAAAATATCACCTTTGCCCCTTAAATAGGTACAACTCTTACATATCAAATACTAAAATAAATTAATAAAAATTCAAAATTTTTAAAAAGTAGGACTGAAAAGTTACCATTGGATCACAGAAGTAGGGAAATGAATGATGTCCTTGTTAAAGGTGGTCTCAGAAGTTGGACTCAAATGGATACAGAAAGTGAGCAGGAGACAGTAGCTTGGGAAGTGCAGGTAACTCCTCCAGGAAGTGTACTGGGAAGGGGAGGATGGAGGGGATGCTGGCTTGGCAGTGAGTGCCTTTGAAGTTGAGCATGTCCCCAGGGGACTACACCTCACCCTGATGGGCAGATGTGCCCCAACCTGCTCCTGCCTGGGCTCCCCAGTTTCACCCTGTAGATGCAGACATAGGACACTTTTCCTTTTGTGGCCACAGGGCATGAATCTCTCGGGCGAGAAGCAGCGGAGCCTCTCCCAGGCTATGTACAGGAAGGCAGCTGTGTACCTGCTCGATGACCCCCTGGTGGCTGTGGACGCCCACATCAGGCAGGTCAGCAGGCCTGGCGGGAACTCCAGGGAACAGTAAGTTTGGGAACATGTGTCAGAGGGCACAGGGCAAAGGCAGAGGATGCCCTTAGCATCCAGTCCTAACCCACATTTCTCTCACCGCCCCCTTCCACTTGAGTCCAGTTTTCCTCTTTGTATTGGTCAGTTTTTGCTGTGATGATGCTACATAACAACCCCTCAGATTCCATCCACTTACAACAGCAGCTGTTTCTTGCTTATGTGTCTGTGGTTTAACTACTACAGCTCTGCCTTGGATGATTGGCCCGGGTCAGGTGGACTCCCTGTCTTCTTGAGACAGGCGGAAGCAGTCCCCTCTGTTTCTCTATTTGGAAATGCTATTTTCAAGAAAGATGGCAGGAGCACAAGAAGGGAAGCTCTCCCCACTCTGAGTCCAGGGACAATACTCCCACCCCAACCCCCTGCTGCAGGAGGCTGGCCGTGCACATGTGTGTAACTTTTCTTTCTTTCCCCTTCCCTTCCTTCCTCTTTCCCTTCCCCTCCCTCCCTCTTTCCCTTCCCCTCCCTCCCTCTTTCTCTCTCCCTTCCTTCTTTTTGACGGAGTCTTGCTCTATCACCTAGGATGGAATGCAGTGGTGCAATTTGAGCTGACTGCAACCTCTGCCTCCCAGTTTCAAGTGATTCTTGTGCCTCAGTTTCCCAAGTAGCTGTGACTACAGGTGTGTGTGCCACCATACCTAGCTCATTTTAGTATTTTTAGTAGAGACAGGGCTTAGCCATGTCGACCTGGTTGGTCTTGAACTCCTGGCCTCAAGTGATCCACCTGCCTTGGCCTCCCAAAGTGCTGGGATTACAGGCATGAGCCATGGAACGTGGCCACATGTGTGTTAACTTCTACCTTTTCCCTGCCCAGGCACAGATTCTCATGACCCACACACTCCACATCCTGCCCTAGGCTGATTGGATCGTGGTGCTGGCAGATGGGGCCATTGTAGAGATGGGATCCTACCAGGAGCTTCTGCACAAGAAGGGGGCCCTCATGAGTCTTCTGGATCAAGCCAGACAGCCAGGAGAGGAGAAGGAGGTACTAGGTGGGCTTTGCTGATTCTCCGTGCCTGGCTCTTGCCACCCTTGGGGAAAAAGGCTCAAAGGGTCCTACTGGCAAGAGTGGCGTGCTCTGGTCACACCCTCCCTGCAGGCCCATGCCCAGAAGCGGATGGCTCTCCAATAGGTCACCTCTCTCCAGGAAGAGCCAGTAACACTATCTACGACCCAGGGGCTATGCTAAGTGCTTCTGTAAAAAAATACACCACTTCATTTGCTTCTCAGAGTGCCCTCAGAGGCATGTGAAGTTACTGCTGTCATTTTACAGATGAGCAAAGAGCGTTAAATTAGTTGCCCAAGGTCACCAGGTTTGAACCTGAGTGTGTCCAACTCCAGAGTCTATGCTTGCAGTTGCTATGGAGACAGCACAAGGTTTTGGTGCCTAGAAAGCTACAACATGCCAGCTAGAGTTTCTAATAATCCAAAGAACACAGAGTCCGCTGGATACGTGACAAGGTTCTGGAAGTAGAGTTGCCAAGCCAAGCTCACCCACAATGAAAAGTAGCAACTCGCAGCACATCACATGTATTAGCTCACTGAATCAACATGATGCCCTGTGGGGCTGGGACTAGAATCATTTCCATTTCACAGATGAGGAAACTGAGGCCCACAAGTTAAGGAACTAGTTCCAGATTACATGGCTTTTAAGTAGCAGCACTGGGATTTGCACCCAACCAACTTAATTCCAGACAATGTGTTTTTTAATTACTAGGCTTTTTACTATCCCTGCTTGACAGAGCAAGGACTCACCCAGGTCTCCCTCAAGCTCAGACTTTGTCTCTTCTGAGAACATCTGCTTAGGATTGGCCCACCCTGGCTAAAAACCCTAAGTGTTGATTCACAATGTCCCAGTCCTGAAGCTTGAAGCTAGAACTTGCCTGTTTGTATTGGTCAGCTTTTGCTGCAATGATGCTGTGTAACAAATAGCCCCCCAGCTCTCAGCAGCCAACGCTAGCAGTTATTTCTTGCTTACAGGTCTGTGGTTAAACTTCTACAGCTCTGCCTTCAGTTACTGGCCACATCTGGGGGATAGTGGTGGGGAGGTGTCCTTCCTGGGAGAGATGGCACCTGAGGGTAGGTGGGAGCGCAAAAAAGAGCAAGCCAGAAAAGAGCATTCCAGACACAAGGAACTTCTTGAGCAAGGCTGTCAGGAGAAACAGAGATAACTTTATACAGTGTTTCTCCTGACAGCTTTTCCAACCTGTGAATCAAGTTCACAGCAGGTGCTCAATTCACTGATGGAAAAACTGAATGAGTGAGTGAATGCCTGAATGATGTTCCTGGAAGAACTCAGAGTGGGGTGTTGAGGTTGCTGGAGAGGTGGCAGGAGCCAGAACAGGGAAAATGGATGGTCAGAGCAGTTAAGGCCACGTGGTCAGTGGGTTTCACTGAGTATCTGGACCATGTCGTGTGACAGGACTCTCTTGACCTTGCAGAAACAACCTGGGACCAGCACCAAGGACCCTAGAGACTCCTTTGCAGGCAGGAGGCCGAGCATAGACCTGAGAGGTGAGTCCACCATGGTGCCACACTCAGAAAGGCACAGGCTGGGGCTGATGTAGCTGTGTCTCGGGCAGTTAGGGGGCAACCAGCACCATTATGGATGGAGCACCTGCTGAAGTCCCCCCATGGCGCCCTGCTGAGGGATAATTCACCAAAATCGGTCCAGTTGGCCAAGATGATTAGTTCCCCATAGGGCCAGTTCATGGGATGAACAAGTGCCTTCCAGCGTGATGGATGTCTTCAAGGGGCCAAGCCAGCTTGCTGGAGTTGTCACAGTGCTGCAGTAGGGCAGGGCTGGTTCCAAAGAAAGACTCTCCCCTTAGTTGTTAACCACCATGCCAGGCCCAGTTATTTCTGCTTTGACAGGTGGGTTATGCGCAGGGCTTGGGTCTATACACACAGCCTCACTTGCTGTTGGCCAGAACACATGGACAAGAGGCCAGCAGGAGGCCTGCGGTCCCCATTTCACTCAGCTCCCTCCAGCTGGGACAGCTGAGCTCACCCTCTGAAGCAGAGGGACCTGCTGCCTGCTACTCTCCCCTCTTAATGAGCGGGATCTTAGGAAGCAGAACCACAAGCCACTGGTATCAGGTGCTTCGAGCTTAAGTGCCTTCTATACAGGGGTGCAGGGTAGCAAGGATCCTGAGGGGCCTCAGTCCCTGGGGATCACTGGGGCTGACCCCCATCCCAGCTAGCCACCCTAAGGACACTTCTCATACACAGACCAATCCCACGGTGTTCATGGCGCACAAGAATCCGAAGTAAGATCAGATGGATAGGTAGTCATGTTTGGAGAAAACCTTTAGATACATTAGGGCTGGGTGTGGTGGCTCACACCTGTAATCCCAGCACTGTGGGAGGCAGAGGCAGGTGGATCACCTGAGGTCAGGAGTTCGAGACCAGCCTGGCCAACATGGCCAAACACTGTCTCTATTAAAAATACAAAAATTACCCAGGCCTGGTGGTGCACGCCTGTAGCCCCAGCCACTCGGGAGGCTGAGGCACAAGAATTGCTTGAACCCACGAGGTGGAGGTTGCAGTGACCAGAGATTGTGCCACTGCACTCTGGCCTCGGCGACAGAGCAATACTCCATCTCAAAAATAATAATCATAACATCTGTCTAACTTAATGTGCCTAAAATTTTGTTTCATTCTGTTCTGTTTCTGAGACATAATCTCTCACTGTCCCTCAGGCCGGAGTGCAGTGGCACGATACCAGCTCACTGCAACCTTTGCCTTCTGAGTTCAAGAGATTCTCATGCTTTAGCCTTCCAAGTAGCTGGGACTATAGGCGTGCACAACAAGGCCCGGCTAATTTTTGTATTTTTAGTAGAGACAGGGTTTTGCCATGTTGGCCAGGCTGGTCTTGAACTCCTGACCTCTGGGGATCTGCCTGCCTCGGCCTCCCAAAGGGCTGGGATTACAGGCACAGGTCAAGGCACCTGGCTGACAGAGGTTAATTGAGTAAAGAGTGATCTGCACATCATGTAGCTGCTGAACCAGAATATGGACAGAAAAAGGAAGGTGGAGGACAGAAAACAGAAGTGAGGTCAGAAACAGCCAGATTGGTTGTAGCTCAGCGTTTGCTTTATTTGAACATGGTTTAAACAGTTGGCTACCTTTGATTGGCTGAAATTCAGTGATTGACACATGAGTAGGCTGCAGTCTGTGTAGGAGTCCAGGTAATTTACAGTTCACTATGTATGGGAAAACCTTTAGGCCAAACCTAAAATATGTAAGGAGGCAGCTTTAGGCTAAACCGAATAGCAGGTAGGCAGACAAGTATATACAGATAAACAGATATGTAGATGGATGGATAGATATTACCCCATCTTGACAGCTGAGGAAACTGAGGTACAGAGTATTAAGTCAGCTCACTCATCCACAGATAAGACATTCGAAAAGTCTTCAACATCTGAATTGTGCATAATTTATATTCTGTCAGTTGGACTGACAAATCTGATGGTTAAACAGTAGGGGCAAAACAGTTGCACCAAAGCTTAAGCCAAAATCAAAATTCTGAGAACAGGATGGGTGCACTGGCTTATGCCTGTAATCCCAGCACTTGGGGAGGCTGAGGTGGGCGGATTGCTTGAGCCCAGGAGTTTGAGACCAACCTGGGCAACATAGCATGACCCCGTCTCAAAAAAGAAAAAAATAAAATTTTGAGAGCCGAGTTCCAATGGTGGGCAAAGTAAGTTCATCCTGTGAAATGGCATCAGAAGAATGGGCTTGCTTGACTCTGGGGTAATAGATGGCATTTAGCTGGGTGCCACACAGGGAGAAGGGAAGTGTGATACCAGGTCAGTATTCTGTTGGATGGATGGATGAAAGACTGAATGAACGAAGAGTATACCCTGAGCTCAGTGGCTATCAGTGGGCCTGAGGGTTGGGCACATACACCCCACCATTGGGAGAGACACTGACTTCATCTTTATTTCCTCTAAACAGGTCCATCATGTCGATCCTTGAGAAGGACCACACTGCTTCATTAGCCCAGAGAGGGGTTCCTCTAGATGACCCTGACAGGACAGCATGGCCAACAGGAAAGGACAGTGTGCAATACAGCAGGGTAAGCACCAGCTTGGCCCACCCCTCCCCGCCCACTGCTGCCACCCCCAGGGGCCCAAGTCCTCCCACCAGATGTAGCAGTTGGCAGGGGCAGTGGTGATACTCACCTTTCTTGAGTACCTACTATGTGCCAGTAGAATTCTAGACCTTTGTTTTCTTAATCCTCACAACCACTCTAAAATATAGATATGATAGCTCTATTTTAGACATACATAAAAAGTCTTTTAAAATTTACTTTATTTTTGAGAGAGTGGCTCAGACACTTACCCATCCTGGACTGCAGTGATGTAATCACAGCTCACTTGCAGCCAAGTTAAAAGACTTGTCTGTGTCCTCATAGCTAGCCTGGGACTCAAATCTAGGCCAGTCCAGGTGTGAAGCTTGTCCTGTTTCTCCCCTTCTATATGGCTACATACCTCCACCCACCTACTTACCATCCCGTCATCCACCTAGGTGCTCATCCACCCACCCACTCATCTATCCATCCCACCCACTCATTTATCTCATCCCATCCATTCACCCACCTACCCGTTTATCCAACCCATCCATGTAACCCAGCTAACAATACATCCCAACCACTCCCTCACCTACACATCTCTTTAGCTGTTACTCATTCACCCACATACCCACCTACGCACCCACCCCCTCGTTCATCCAGCAAACACATACACAATGCCCACTATGTGCCAGGCTAAATCTGGCAGCTACTGGATACTAGTGAGGATAGACAGAGTAAATAATTAGGCTGATAAACAAGCTATGTCTGACAACAATAAGTGCTATAAAGTAAGAATGGCCAGGTATGGTGGCTCACACCTATAATCCCAGCACTTTAGGAGGCCGAGGCGGGTGGATCACAAAGTCAGCATTTTGAGACCAGCCTGGCCAACATAATGAACTCTGTCTCTACTAAAAATACAAAAAAAATTAGCTGGGCGTGTTAGTGGGCGCCTGTAATCCCAGCCACTTGGGAGGCTGAAGTAGGAGAATCACTTGAACCCAAGAGGTAAAGGTTGCAGTGAGCCAAGATTGTGCCATTGCACTCCAGCCTGGCACAATGGCTCCAAAGTGGTAAGTGCTTTAGGGTGCCAGAGAAAGGGGTCCCCTGAGGCTGGCAGGCAGTGAGTGGGGGCGAGATAAGAATCTCAGAATTTCCGTTTGTTTTGAGATGGACTTCTCCTCTTGTCACCCAGGGTGCAGTGCAATAGCACAGTCTCGGCTCACTACAACCTCTGTCTCCCATGTCACCCAGGCAGGAGTACACTGGCACAATCATGGCTAACTGCAGGCTTGAACTCCTAGGTTCAAGTAATCTCCCAAACAGCTGGGACCATGGGTTTAACAAAACACCATGCCTTGTTAATTTTCCTATTTTTAAAGAGATGGAGTCTTGTTTCCCAGGCTGATCTCAAACTCCTGGCCTCAAGCGATCCTCCCTCCTTGGCCTCCCAAAGTGCTTGGATTACAGGTGTGAGCCACCACACCCATCCAGAAGGGTTTTCTTGAACACCCGCCATGTGTCACGCATGCTCATAATAACCTCCATTTCACAGATAAGGAAGCTGAGGCACAGAGAGGTTCGGCCACTGGCTTAGGGTCCTGCTGCTACAAATCTGAAGTTCGTGCACAGTTGCGGCCAGTCAGGACTATTGAAAACATCCATCTAATCCTATCTTGTCACTTGCCTGTCCATGGCTATCTCTTGCTCTTAGAAGAAATTCCAGCCAGGTAGGTGACTCACACCTGTAATCCCAGCACTTTGGGGAGGCCAAGGCGGGCATATCACCTAAGGTCAGGAGTTTGAGGCCACCCTAGACCAACACGGTAAACCCCCATCTCTACTAAAATACAAAAATCAGCGAGGCGTGGTGGCGGGTACCTGTATTCCAGCTATTTGGGAGGCTGAGACAGGAGAATCGCTTGAATCTGGGAGGCGGAGGTTGCAGTGAGCCGACATCACGCCACTGCAGTCCAGCCTGGGTGAGACTGTCTCACAAAGAAAAAAAGAAAAAAAAAATGAATACTAACTCACTGGGGATCGTATAGGAGGTGGGGGTTCTCAGGCTAGCCAGGGCCTGTGGGGGAGATGGAGCTCCTGGTGGGAGGAACAGAGGGAGAACCCATGGGGTCTTTGTGGTGGTTCCCTCTGCCCATTGGCTTGTTTTCTGAGAGCTTTGCCTGGCCTTGGCCTCAACTCACCCCTCCTTCCAGGGGCGCTCTCTGCCTCCCCTCTTTGTCCTGTGTGCTACAGGTGAAGGCTGCAGTGCACCTGGCCGACCTGTGGCCCATGGAAACCCACCTTCTGCCTCTATGCGCTCTTCGTTTTATTCTGCCAACAAGTGGCCTACTTCTGCCAGGGCTGCTGGCTGAGTCTGTGGGCAGACAGCCCTGCAGTGGGTGGGCAGCAGACAGGGGCAGCTTCTCAAAGTGTGGCCCCAGGATCAGCAGCAGTCTCACCTTGGGACTAGTTAGCAGTGTACACTCATAGGCCCTAGCCCAGGTCTACTGACTCAGACACTATGTAGGTCAGCCCATGAATCTAGGTTTTAATTAACCCTCGAAGTAATTCTGATGCACACGAATGTTTAGAAACCACTGGCTTACCTCTGTTTGCTCTCATTTTGCACATGCTCTTTTACCAGGGCAGGTCTGATGGCCAGTAGCCATCATATCATCACTTTAGCAATTCAACATGTAAATGTTTCTCCAGCTCATTAGTCATATATTAATCCCAGAGAAGGTTCTGATTGGCCATTGTGGCTGCTGTATGCATCTCTGAACTCATCACAGTAACTGAATGAATAGTAGACTCTGATAGACTAGGCTGTGTCATGTGACCACCTCTCTGATCAGGTCCCATGATTGACAGTACCCAACCCAGCCCCTTCCCACAGGAAACCAAACACAGTAGTCAGATAAAACCCTGGCTAGGGCTGGGCATGCTGTCTTACACCTGTAATCTCAGCACTTGGGGCTGGGGCACAGTGGCTCACACCGTAATCTCAGCACTTTGGGAGGCTGAGGCAGGCAGATCATGATGTCATAGTTTAAGACCAGCCTGACCAACATGGTGAAACCCTGTGTCTGCTAAAAGTACAAAAATCAGTTGGGCATGGTAGTGCATGCCTGTAGTCCAGCTATTCGGGAGGCTGAGGCAGAATTGTTTCAACCAGGAGGTGGAAGTTGCAGTGAGCCAAGACTGCACCACTGCACTCCAGCCTGAGTTATAGAGCAAGACTCCATCTCAAAAAAAAAAAAACAAAAAAAAAAAAACCTGGTACCATCCAGTATGAAGAGAGGAGCCACCCACGGGGTCTGTCACTAGGAACAGGGACAGTGTTGAAGAATGACTTAATGAGCCAGTGAGTAGGCAAACTCCCAAAGTCCAGAGGCCACTGTGCCAGGGGCATCACCTTGCATAGTCTATGGTGGTGTTGGATGCCCATGGGCAATGGTGAAGACACTGCATCCCTTGAACTGCATCCGGATGATGGACTGAATGAGGGTTGCCCATTTCCAGGTCCGACGGCCGCTGTGGCCTCATCCAACACAAGGATCCAAGTGATCTTAATCTTGCTCAGCAGGGCCCGAGCCAGCACACAAGCTGGTGCTGCCTGACACTTTACTGGAAGAAAAAGACCAGTAGTAGACAGTGTTGGGTCACAACCACCCCGACCCTGAACCTAGGCACAGGCTGGGAGAAGTGAGACAAGACACTCTGTGGTCCTTGGACCAGAAAAGCCCATCCACTCCCAACATCTGTGCCTGCAGCAGACATCACTGGTCAATCTGAACACATCTATTCAGCAAGATGCAGGTTCATAATCATCTCAAAACAGTGGCTCACACCTACAAACCCAGCACTTTGGTGGCTGAGGTGGGAGGATTGCTTGCAGCCAGGAGTTGAGACCAGCCTGGGCAACAAAACAAGACCTCTGTCTTTCCAAAAAACAAAAGTAAAAAAATTGGTTGGATGTGGTGGCACACTTCTGTAGTCCTCAGTTACTTGGGAGGCTGAGGCAGGAGGATTGCTTGAGTCCATGAGTTTGAGGCTGAGCTCGAGCCACTGTACTCCATCCTAGGCAACAGACTGAGACCCTGTCTCTTAAAAAAAAGAGCCAGACACAGTGGCTCACATCTGTAACCCAGCACTCTGAGGCCAAGGCAGGTGGATCACTTGAAGGCCAGGAGTTCAAGACCAATCTGGCCAATGTGGTGATACTCCATCTCTACTAAAAATGCAAAATTAGCTGGGTGTGGTGTGGGCGGCAGTCATCCTAGCTACTTGGGAGGCAGAGGCAGGACATTGCTTGAGCCTGGGGGTGGAGGTTACAGCTGAGATTGTTGCGCCACTGCACTCCAGCCTGGTGACAGAGAGAGACCCTGCCTCAAAAACAAAAAAAGGCCTCATATCCATGCATCTCTATCCAACTGTGGGGCCATGACAGTTGCCTCTGCACGCAGACATTTACCTTGTTTTGGCCAACGGACACCAGCAACATAAGGCCCAGCCAAAACACTACTGCGAGCATTGCACATGGGACTTTATAAGCTCTTGTGTCCCTGTCATCGCCATGACAACATGCCCAAGAAGGTCAGATCTGCTGGAGAATGAGGAATGCGCACATACCCTTCTTGTCCCACCTGAGGTCAAGTAGATCAGCCGACAGCACTGCTGATCCCAAGACATGATGTGAGCCCAGCCGAGATCAGCAGAGCCACCTGCCTGACTGCCCTCGCAAGGGGAGCAGAGATCACTGCTTTTGTTTGAACGTGACTGAGACTTGTGGGTTGGTTGTCACGGAGATGATAACCAACCAGAACCAGATACCCACAAAGAACCACCAGAGTTGGACCCCAGAGGTGCCCTCTGCTGTGCCAGGCATTAATGCTCTAGTTACTGGGTCATGGACAGATCTCCAGTATGTTGGGAGAGGACCAAGACAGCTGGGGACTTGGGGGCTCAGAGCAGTGCTAGTGACCACTGGTACAGAAGCCTTTCTCTAGCTTAACAACTGAGGGCCACAGTCACTGAATGGAGCTGGTGTGTATAAAAGGAATGCATTGTCCATCCTGGTTGTTATACCTCATGGTACAAAGAGCCTGCATTAGACCCATTTTACAGATACAGAAACTGAGGCTCCAAAAGCTGAAGGGGAACAAATGGGACATCAGCACAACTGGGACTCAAATCCAGGTCTGAACAGATCTGGGCAGAATATTGAAACACCCCTACTGAGGTAGCACCTAGGAGACCTTGAGTCTACCCCCGCTACCTGAGGTTCTCTCCACCTTCTCTGCGCACTCACGGTCCAGCCTATCAGGAGGGCTGAGTGCGAAGTCCTTCAGGGTGAGCCAGCTCCAGGGAC